TGCCGAAGAATTGATGCCTTTGAATTGTGGTGCTGGAGGAGACTCTTGAGTATCCCCTGGACTGCAAGGAGAACAAACCTATCAATTCTAAAGGAAATCAACCCTGAGTGCTCACTGGAAGGACAGATCCTGAAGCTGAGGCTCCGGTACTTTGGCCATCTAATGAGAAGAAAAGACTCCCTGGAAAAGACCCTGATGTTGGGAAAGTGTGATGGCAAGAGGAGAAGGGGACGACCGAGGATGAGATGGCTGGACAGTGTCTGCGAAGCAACCAACATGAATTTGACACAACTCCGGGAGGCAGTGGAAGATAGGAGGGCCTGGCGTGCTCTGGTCCATGGGGTCACGAAGAGTCGGACACGACTAAACGACTAAACGACAACGACATGCAATTTGCATCAATTATTCAGCTGAGGAAGTGCCTTGCAAATCTGGTCTCTTTAGTGGTAATTTATTAGTACTGTCATTGAAATAGATGTATAAGTACTGAATTGATTATACATGTGGATTTCATTCATTAATCTGCAACGTTTGTTTTGCCTTAAAAATGTCTCCTTATCTAGCTCCTAGTACATGGAATTAAGTTAAATTCTTTATGCATTTTAGTTACGAGAGCTGGAAGACAAATATGCAGAGTGTATGGAAATGCTACATGAGGCACAAGAAGAATTGAAGAACCTTAGAAACAAGACAATGCCAAATGCCACATCACGCCGTTACCACTCATTAGGCCTTTTCCCCATGGTAAGAAGTGTTATCAGAAACCTTTCCTAGAATACTCAATTTATACCAACACAGTGTTCATTAGCATAAGGAAGGGAATCCACAGCATTGTTTCCACAAATATTGAGAAAAGCATTTATTTGTCTACTAAACAAAGGGAATGCCTGAGATCAGTTGTGTTACTAAGCATGTTTTGGAAATAATAGCTATACTTGACAGTTAGTAAAGTGCAAGTAAAGGTCTGATATATCTCTTTTTACAACAGAACTTTAAAAAGTCTACAATTGGGCTAATATGGAAAACATTTAAGATAAACTTTCTTTAAATGCTTCTTAATTACGCATCTAGCAAAATAGTCCCTTGCCTTTAAAAACAATATTCCACAATGAATGTTATTAATATCAGAGTCAATATCACTTTTCTAATAGTACAGAGATGTTTGATTTTTTTTAAAAAAAAAATCCATGTACTAAGGGTGACAATAACAAAAACCTGTGAAAACCCACTGAGACGTGGTTTTTTAACGCTCGGTACTTTCAAATGCCAACTGAAAACATGGATGTACATCCAGGCCTTCCTTCCTGTCAACTACTGATTTCTTTGCTTTGCTATTTATTATTTATTTATTCCTGCACTATTTGTTATTGCTGTATGCTAATGTTTTTATGCTTTTTTAATTGTTTTTGATATTCTGTAAGCCACCCAGAGTGGTAGAATATACCAGATGGGCGGGATATAAATCGAATAAATAAATAAATA